CCGTGTTACTTTATTACTTACAACGATTATTGCTGCTTTATTTAGCATTTACTCCTTTCGATATTATCCGACAATTCACTTATGCGGTAAGCAATTCATTAATTTAAATATGACATTTTAATATTTTTCCGTATAAATAAAAATTTGACAACAAACATTTTATGCAAAAATAATAGAATAATTGAATTGAATTTTGGCAAACTCAAAAAGTTAGTATTTTCAGACATGCAAATTTAATGCTTGAAATACTTGTAATTACAAAAAGTTATCAATCATTATAACTTATTAATGAAATAGTTACATTCGATTACTTTAATATGAATTCGTAGATCACTTTTTCTACATGTACTGCTATTTATGTTAATCTAATTATGTAAATTTTTGCTGCGAGATATAACAACCAAATAAGTTTTGATTAAGACAAGTAAATAAGTATTTGATTTTCTTTGCACATTTTTCTCGTTTGTTTTTTTTAATTGTCAAATCTGAAAATTGAAAACCATATTGCAATTAAATGCATTTTGACATCCATTTTAGTTTTTTTGTTTGATCTCATATGATTTTTTGACTACAAAACCTATCTTAACATTTCCCAAATCACACTGCATCGATAATTTTTCACAGTGCACAGAATAAACTCAAACTTTGCATAATAACAATTTGCTTTTTTATAAAATTTCTATTAATATTATTGTCATAATTAGCTAGCAAAAAAGGAGTAACTTTTGATTCTGAATCCAAAAGTTAAACTCCATTCATCAGAAACCTTCTCCAAAATATATAAAGACTTCTGTACTCTCTGCAATAATTTTGATTACGCATATCGATAAAAGTAAAGAGATAAAAAATAGAAGCAAATGTTTTTGATCAAATCTTTTACAGAAGTTTCTACTGAATAAAAGTTGAAGGATATTTCTTTGTCAGACAGAAGAAAAAAGTCACTATGAAACGGATATATTATTCTTTGATTTATTTTTTTATTACTTCAATTTCCAGCTTGACCTTTTCTGCCTTAAAACTTTTTCATTTACGAGATGAAAACTACAATTCATTGTAGTAGTCAATTGCAGTTCATTCTACCTTTCAACACGTGCAAGTAATTCTTCGTCACATTTAAGATTTTAATCGCTGCTACTAAAATCCTCTTGTAACAGCAATTTATAGTTATATTTGCCCACAATTAACAACTTTTCATAAATTTGCTAATTATCAAATTTATTTTCTATGCACGCATAACACTGAAGTTAAAGGGATTAAGTGCGATCTTCAAACCATAACAACGTGAAAAGTATTCACAAATGTGATCATTTCTTAAAGCGTCCATTTTTGAAAGGGTCACTTTCGTTTTATAAACTTCCGTGTTGGGAAGTGAATGTGTGAAATTTTACGTATAAAAAGTTGTTCAAACTACCATTTGCATCAATCATCAATTAAACGAGGCAAGCAACATTTATGCATTTATGAGAACACATTGATATGTCCACATCCATCTTTTCTACGTCTTTCATCCATTAATAATTATTATTTAATTGACCCTTTTTGCTTTTTATTACAACTTTTAGTTTTACTCTTCAACGAAGTACTTTTTGACACTTTACTTTTTAACTTGTAAAATTAAAATTAGGTAAAAAAAGCTGCAAAAATTTTGTCACGTATAATAGACATAAGAAAGACAAATTAAACTAAGTAACCTCACGTGGTCAAAGGGCCATAGGATTCATTACACATCAAGGATTTTGAAGAAAAAGAATTTAAATCAAAAAATAATCGCGAGTGTGTAGTACACACAGGTGTATATTTCAAATATTCATAACTTACTGCGTTAAATCCTTTCGCATTACTTCAGAATGCTTTACTTCTTTCAACAATTAAGTATTCATCGATCGCAAGTCGAGAAAAATTTATTACTCTTTTCGCGTACAATTAATTATTCATACAGTCTGTCAGCATTAATTATTTTCAGTTAAACAATTTCATTTCACGTTTGAATATTATACTTTCGTATCAGTTGAAATATTTTCTGACAAATGTGATGAGAAGACAAAGCAAACTTTCAAAAAACCATAATTAAGATAATAAAGTGCCTAAAAGTTATACGTTATTTACGTTAATTAATATCTTTGCACTTTGACAGCACAAAATCACACCGTCCAATACAACTTTTCCATAATTATATAATATCAAATGTAATCACTCAATCGATTGATTACAATGCTGATAAATGCATGATAACTCGCATTGCACAATGCAATTAAAATGTTCAAATTTTGTAGACAAAATTTAAGTTTTCCTTTTTAAATTATTCAAAATCAGTTCTGTTTTCTTTCTAATCTTATTGTTTAGCAATATTTGAATTTTATATATATTATAGATGTGCTTTGCTTAATTTTGTTTAATGCTTTATCAAATTATTCTTACAAATGGCAAATTCTTCAAGATTTTAAACCAAACGATGGATAATTTTCAAGCATTACTTATAAATAAAATTTTAAGTTTATAAGTTGTTACTTTTGATTTATCAAAAAATAATGATTTCTTCATAGTAAACAAGTATTGTATAGGCAAGTCTTCAAAAAATGAACAACAGGAAAAAAAGATAGTAGAATAACTTTGCAATGTGATTATTATTATTATTATTATTATTATCACTATTATTATTATTATATTGTTATTATAAGAGAACTAAATTAATAAAATCAGTGATGTTATTGAACAAAATGAGGGTGGTAGTGATGGGGGGAATAATTTAGTGAGCATCAAGAATAGAGAAAAGTAATAAATTACTTTCAAATAGTAAATGTTTGATAGAAGTGAAAATAATAGTGACTTAATCATCCGATTCTTTCAAAAGTAACAAAGCAGATCAGAGGATAATAAAATTTGTAATTTGTTCATTTTCAAATGCTCAAAATTAATTCGTTCATTTTTGATATGTTTTTGATAGCAGGCAGGCATTGATATGTTGATAAATGCAATGATGGATAGATCCAAGTTTATTGAAAACACGGATTTTTTCCTTCACATAAACCTCTAATTGACAGTATATTTCTTGTGAAGGAATGTTGAGAAAAACAAACAATCCCAAACCACTACGGAATGCCGAAGCGATAGTACTAATTGATAACTTGCGAATTTTTTGTTTATTATTTTGAAAGAAACCTTCAAAGTCTCTCGAAACTTTCATTGTGTATTTCTATGGCTTACGTGAAAAAGTTAATCTGCGATGTAATTTTGACAAATCTCGATTTCTGATAGTACACAATTAAAGTCATATTGAGTCCAAATTGATTTTATCAGCTTCAAAGTTCACGTAAATTAATAAGTGCACGTTCAGGATTGAAGTTTTTGATTCATTTTTGAATTTGGTTTGATATCATTACGATTTTCATCCAATTATTGCTTATAAGCATGATTTAAGTTGAGATTATCTGTACTCAAATGTATTAAACCGAAGGATTAAATTCCAGTATAAAAGGTAGTAAACAAATTATTAATTGCTCGCTGAATGATAGATAGTCTTTCTGAATATATTATCAAACAAATCAGTTAATCTCAGTAATGAAACCACAAAATCTCCAAAATTTTTTAAATTACGCAGTCACATATTACGTCTGCATAAGTTTCTAAAACCATAACTACAACTAAGATGATATAATTTTTGATTAATCGCTTCAAAATCAAAAAAGCAATTTAAGTTACTTCTCACTTATTGAAAAGATGGTTTTAATTAAACAGTATCCTGCTTTTGTTCCTTATTCTTTCATAAATAACTAGTTTAGAATCCACAAAACTAGTTTATCAAAATTTCTTCCGGTCATTCTTTTACGAGCATAAAGTGTAAAGTTTCTCACAACTTCATTACAACTTTTGATTCCATTTATGCACGTTCAAAAAATTTGCATAATCCAATATTTCTTTCTACATATTTGAAATTATGCTTGCATTTGAAAATGGCTAAAAAAAGAAAATAAATTTTTGAATATATTTTGCTGATATATTTCTGATATATTTTGTAGTTCATTCGTAGTATTCGAAAAGGCTGAAAAATAACTAAAACATTGCAATGGTTGAAATGTAAAATGCTTTTTATAAAAAGTTTATAAAAACAGGTCGCTTGCAAGCATCCACCGCTTCTTCGATACCTAACATTTATTCTGACCGGTTCAGAAGGGACTTAAAAGAAAACGTTTACTTCTTGTAGCTTCAAGAAATCATGGAAAAATGCTTTTAAAGTATTTTCTAGTATGTTGTAATTCAAAAATCTGAATATAAGATAAACTTTGAACTTTTGTAAATTTTTCAAAATTGGGATGTTTTTAAAATATAAAAAACTACTAAAAATACTTCTAAAATTGCGAGATAAATACGAAGGAAATTTGGCAGCAAATTCTTTGGAATGCATTTAAAAAAGTAAGAATCAATTAATGATATAAAATAATTTACATTGAAAATGAAAATCTTTTGGTATAGAATCAAACTCGTTTATTTTGGCCGAATTCATTCTACCATTTTTTTTTCAGAATCAAGAATCCCAATCAATAATGTATAGTATATAAACTTTTTTGAATTCCTTGCACACGTTAAGGAATTTCCATTGAGTGTGGGCTTCGAAGCACAAACCAGTTATTCATTCATCCTCTGTCCAATATTTAATGTTAACTTGCTTGATCTTAAAAAATTCCTTTTATTTAATTTTTCTAACCGTTCACTCATTTATTTGGTCATTCGTATTCTTAAACAAGTTCTTCTTCCGCGCCAAATCACTTACTACTTTCTGGACTGTGTTAGTTAGTAAGCTGATAACTTCGAAGAACCTTCCAAGTCTTAAACTTAAACTTAGTATACAAATTGAAAATAGAAACCAAAAAAGAAAGAAAAAAACATTAAAATGAACAGAACAAAACACATTTTCAACTGTGCATTAAAAGAAAGTCACCAACTTTTAATTCAATTATTAGTCAAATATTTTTCTAAACTTGCCAAGTGAGAATAATAGGCTAATGGTAAATCAAAATCAGAATCAGTATAAGTTCTGACTTGAATTTGGCATTCACTTTCTTTTTGAAGCACTTTGAATGAAAAATAAGTGAATCAGAATCTGATTATGACTTGCTCTGATCAAAGTTTGATTTAAGCAGTATCAGTACAACTCAGGAATAGACTACCGTCGTCGTCCAAGCCATTTAATCATTAACAGTATCAAGAGGTTACGGCCACTAAAAGCTAATGGAATCATTACAGAAACGTTTGAACGTCATATGTATGTATTAATTTTTCATTTCAGACAATTGTTTTCATGTAAAAAATCAGAAAATAAATAAAATTTTTGAGATAAGCAAAAGTCTGTATTTTTTTAAAGTAAGCACTGATATTGTATTGAATCACTAGGCAAGAAAAACAGCATCAGCGAGAGCCATTAGTTATGAATGCCTATGAATCAAAAACTTTTCGACATCGGCTACAAAATGCTTTAGAAAAGGCGTATGCTCAGTCCACGTCAAGCAAATCTTTCAATAAAATTTATGTTAGTGATGATTTTTTATGTAATTTGATTTGTAATTCATTTGCAGCTGCGATGAATCGAAATTTTGAATTATTTTAATTCAATCTTAATTAAGACCAAATATTATTTTTACTAGTCTTAATTAGAACTAACTTTCACCTAATCACCAGTACTTTAACTTAATGAAGTATGTAAACTATTATATTTTGCCTTAATTTGCAGAAAAAGAGTAATGTTCTGCCACGAGCAGTATCGCCATTTTTGCAATTATCGAATACAGAATACGATGATGACAAGCCTGTCAATGTGCAACCAACGCTGAAACCAACAATAGCAACAACAGTCTCGGTCCAAAGCGAAACACTGAAATCCTGGAGACCAGTGTCTGAGACTGAATCATCCTCAGAAACTGAAGGCGGAAAAGCAAGACAAAATAGAATTCAGGTTTGATCATGAATTTGCCGCGATATTGATCCTTCAAATAGCATTAACTTGATTAAATAATAATTTGTTGCAAGCTGTATGATTAAATGTTGTGGTTAAAAGAATTATAATATTCTAAAATTAAACATGCGTCTTTAGCTTTTTGGCTTTATTCACTCGTAGAGTGCCAGTGAAAACACGTAGATCTCAATTTTTGATAATATCAGACGGTTCAAAGTATCACACTGTTACTTCTTTTATACTATTTCACTCTATAGATATTTTGCGTCTGAGCATCTCATAAGAGAAATTTTTTTCTTGGCATAGTTGTTTTGCTAGGCATTAACTCTGAACTATGCTTTCGACATAATATATAATTACAATATTACTTTTTATAATTATGAATAAATCAATACCGTGTTATTTATAATTATGCAGTCAAGACCATATTGTTGTAATATTCATTGAATAAGATATATAAATACAGGCAAGACGGCGTAAATTGGGTCCATTAGTGAAATCACTGAGAAATCCATATCCTCGGCGCAATTGGCATCGGATTATTATTGCGGATAACGATTCCCTTCGATTTTCTGATACAGTACGTAATATTGTAGAACAGCGGTTACGACAACTTGCAGCGCAACGATTAGCAAAGAATCATCACACTGCTAATGCAATGAAGGGAAAACGACCACACACAAGTGAAATAACTCTTTCAAATGCAAGAAAATCTGATGACGAAGGTATTTACATTCCGTTTTTGGATCACATCTCAGTAATATAAAAAAGTTTTGGCAAATAAGCTAAAGAAAGACAATTAGCGAGCACAACAGTTATGCATAACTAATCAATTGATAGAGTAAATCCGTTTATTCGTTATTGCATTGCTTTTGTTACTGATAGACGGACAGTTACAATTCATTAGAGTACAGAGTGAAACATGCATTTCTTCTGAATTCACAGCTTATCGTAGTAAATAACTCTAACTTGATGATCAGACGATTTGGTATTTATCGTGATTAAGACAAAGATTACTGGTGTCATGCAGTACAATGCATTTCTCTTCAATGGCCCAAATATTATTTTCAGTAATTCATTGCATTGATTAAAATATCCGGGGATTTTAATGACTTTAAAAGAATAATTTCTCAGGAATTTGTAATTTTTTGGCCTTTTCATCTCTTGAATAACTGAATTTTGATAAATAAATTAATTATTAAATCAATAAAACGAAGTAAATTTTCTTGTGCGCGGATTTAATCATTCTGGGATAGTTACTGAAAGGTTACTTCATTGCAAACGTAGCAATAACTTGAGACGCACCAAGAATTTACAATCTTTTACTTATATTTATGAACAATATTGCCAGCTATCAACATAATATGACACGTATTAACTCAAGCAAGAAAAATTACAAAAAATTAAAAAATTAGTCAGATTGTCGTCACTTTTCTATCTTAACCACATGGCTTACATCTTATCAACCAAAGTTTGGCTTACTTTAGAAAATAATTGACATATATAATATTTTAGCATTTCTTCTATTACCAAAAATTCTGTTTCCATTTTGCTTTATATCTGCGTAAACTCTGAATTTCTGATGCTTCTTAATTGAAGGTATAATATTTAAAGGAATTAACGGTATAATTTTCAGCAAATGAATTGTCAACGATAGAAAGAGTACAACCGACTACAGCAATTACAGTAACTTCTAGTAATACAATATCTGATATTGATTTCGATACTGAAACTACTTCAAGTAATACTAACGATAATATTTCTACTATGATTCCAAGAACGATACATACTACTACTACCAAATCAGTTAGCACTACTGATGCTAATAATGCTACCAGCACCACTGCAACTACCTTGAGTGAAAGTTCGTCAAGTAGAGCTCTTGGCTTGAAGAATGCAGCAGTTATCAATTCAAAAGCACTTTCTTTGAGTACCTCGCAAAATGATTACCACTTTCGAAGGATTCCACCACCGAAAAAGTTCAAATTCACTCAAAAATTTAGAAGGCAACCACGACTGAGAATAAGAAAACCAGGTTCCATTTCTATTACCTTATCTTCCATTACAGTACATGAAAAAAGGCTAAGGGGAATAAAATTGAACTCATACATTTCTCCAAACACGAGTTTTTCAAGCAGTTACAACACGCAATTTCTCCAAACAGTCTCAACTTTACGGACGCCAACTTTTACAATAGTCAAAATTATTTTTTTTGATTATACAATTTTTCAACTGCGATATTTTGAAAAAAAAATGAAATACAAATAATGTGGTATAGTGGTAGCACTCGGTTTTTCAGATGAAAGTGGACCTCTGCGAGGAAACCAGACGTCTTTAGGACGAAATCCAATTATTTTGCCTCACCTTGCACCATTACGTCATGAAAATAAAGATCAGCAAGCAATATCTACTAATAACGCAAACGGTAAATTCTGAAACATAGACAAAAATTGTTCATAAAATCAATATTGAAGAATGATTTCTTAGTCATCAAACTGAATTTACTACAAATTTTTGCAGGTTTCTCGAGAGAATCTGGTCATAATTTCGAAATTCTGAAACATTCTGATGAATCCACTACAACTACTACTGCTACTGCTAGATTTGATAGTTCAAATATGCCTATAGAAGATTTGTCATTAACATCGCATACAACCGGATCGACAGACAATAGTGAATCCAATTCTAGTAAATTCACATTTAATAAAAGTGATTTGATACAATTTGGCGGAGGTAAGCCACCACCCGTTGATTTCAATCAAGCAAACATTGGTATATTCAGTAGCAGCGACGACAACAAATCAGAAGAACAAGCTTTACCTGCCAAGTAATTTTTCTACATTTCCCTTATATGAAATGCGAAGCGTCTTCAACCGTATCTTGCATTCCTATGAATGTTTTAATTTTACAAAACGATCAATTTTGAGATCAGCGGATGATAAAGAAATGAAAAGTACAACTGCATCTGAAGCATTTACTGACGACCCAGCCTATATAAGATCACGAGCTTCTCCTTCCCCTTCATCATTCGAAGACGGACAGGAAACTTTGGAAACCAAAAATTCAGGACTACTTGCTGCATCCCCACCACCTGACTTTGCCGGTGAATTTGGAACTGGAATTGGCAAACCATCTCACGCAGTTTCATTTGGTAGTGGACCACCACCAGAAGCACCAGGTGAGTGTAAGTAGAATATCGGTGCTGTTAATGACTGTTTTTTTATTAGCACATCGGTAAGTTTGTTCCAATGTGGATGCGCTTATTTTCGAACGCAAATCATGCTTTATATATTAACTTACTTCGTGCTCACTACTTATCAAGTATTTAGAACTGTTCAAATAAATGAATGATGGAGTATGCAAATCGTAAGGTAGTAAATATTGGAATTAATATAAAAAGTTTTAGTAATTGGTAAACTTCGAAAGTAAGCATATATTTTCCAGATTACAATGAAATTGAAGACTCAATATTCACAGGGGATTCAGCCCTAACACCTAATCGAGCTGGGCCAACAGGTGACGGTCTAGGTCCACCGATTCTTTCTGGTGCAGCCATACCACCTCCAGTACCAGCAGTAGGCATTGGCGGTGCAGCAGCTGGCATTCCACCTTCAGCCGCAAATGACTTTTTCAGATCTACAGAAAATCCACCAAGCACTGTTTGTTGTTTCTAAATTTATTTTAGCCATTATAAATAACAAAATTTGCAAAGATACTAAGCACCATATATATAACAGTTTAGATTTTTAGAGAAATTCAACTTCACAGATACAGTATTTTGAACTATTAGCGCGAGAAAAGAAAGTTTCAGAAGTCATAAAGCTTCCAAAGCAGTTATGACGTTATCATTTCTACCATATTTGCTTGTTAATAACTACGGTTTAATCTGTTCTTAGATGATTAATCCCTCGTAACTCCATCGATGCCGCACTATTTAAAGCTTCCACTTCTTTTTATCTGCATAAATATTCGTAAAAATAAAAGACAAAGTAAATACATATGTAAAATGTCTAAATGAATTCGCTTCTATTTGCATCGCCTGACAATGCATAATTTGCGCCCATAATTGCAATTGTAGCACTAAATATGAACAAGAATATGTTAGCCTTCCGTTCGTATTTGCAGATAAAACCATCGGCACTACTGAGTGTTCTCAACAAGGCAGATATTGGTTTTAATCAGGCAATTAATCATTTCGAACAAGGCACACCAATTGAATCAGCTGCAATTGATATTCTAGAAGTAAGATTCCGATATACTTCAATAAGTCTCTTTCATTTCTCTCTAAAAGCGCTGCTTATATAGAATACATAAATTCTTTCTTCCGCATATTTGCATTTTATTTTTAGTTATTTTTTTCTGAATCACCCGAGTAAACGTAGCCTATATTTGAGAACAATCATTCAATGATGCATGAATTATAATTATCTTAAATATAAGCTCGTGGACCCTAGCTATGTAAGTATCAACACTATTAATGTTCACTCATAAAAACTGCTGATTTTTGTTTACTTCAACTTCAGGTAGCATTGGGTAGTGAGAAATTGGATAGTCAAGCAAAATTACTCGGTCATATCGACCGCACGATTGGTATTGATAATCTACAAAGGTTACAAAGATGGGCAAATACAGGTGGTGCGCTGGATGCTCTTAAAGATCAGGTTATTTCTAACTCGATGTAAATTATAAAAATAACAAAAATTTTGTTTGCTTGTAAAAATTCTAACAGTAAATGGTAATATTATTTATATAAAGCACAAATTATCTTTTTATGATTCAATATTTCTAAATCAAATGGCACCTACAAAAATAATTCAATTTAGAGTTATTCATAGTTGTGCTTCTTTCAGCTAATGAAAATCGCCAAAAACTACAGCCCACCAGAAAACCTCATCCCAACTGTACCACCACAGTTCCAATATCTCTTTAACCCATGAATTGCAATAGTGATTACTAAAGTTTGTGCCATTTTTGGTGATTAAGCGGGTAGAACGAACTTCTCTCGACACAAGTCACACTTTTGCTCAGAATTTCTGACTTCCCCTAAAAGGAGAAGATTATAGTGTTCATATGTAAGTGTATAATTTACAAGTTCACATGTTACTGATGAAATACAAATTATGCAAAAAATGAGTGAGCCATCGTTTGGGACGTTTCGAATTTTCTAATGTAAAAAATCGTGGTAGTGATTGGAAACAATATTTCACACTTCGATTCGGAGTATTACTTCACATTGTCCTTCCTCAAACTGCGCAATTCGACCTCAAAACATTGCAGTCTAATGTAACTTACTATCTAAATAATAGTAGCATGTCGAACTTGCCACATATATTTTGTGTTTGTACAGATTAAATAATACATGTCAAGAATACTGCCCAGATACTTTCTAAATGCTTTTTTTTTTCCTGTGAATTGATATTAATTTGATACTCGATCCTATAATACATTATATACTTGCAGACAAAAGTACAGTGCTAAAAATACCAATAAAAATAGCAAACGTGACGAAAGCAAGATGCAAACCACATATGTAACTATACATAATGTAATAACTACATATTTATATTCCATTCAATGTTTAAAAGTGATGTCAAACAAGAACATAGTTTAGTGAACTTGACAGCGAAATCATGCATTAAAATGCTGAAAATTTCAAATTTCAGGAAGAAAGATGATTTTTTACATTCTTGACATACAGATGAGCCAACTCATTTGTATGTCAAAATACTTTTTTAATTTTTTACTGATCCTCCAGTACTGTTGATTTCAATTCCTAGTTTTAATATTTTTACATCAAATCTGTTTTCTGCTTCGATTCGATGTTTTAATCAATAAACCAGCCTACTAAAGCAAGATATATTAAATAAAATAGTACTTTATTTGGAAGTGTATGATGATCAATCATCTTTACTTTAGTAGCCTGATTTTTTGATTGAAACATTGAATAGATCAACTATCAAGACTTCTAAACACTACTTCATGCAGTTGACTTGAGTTTGAAAATTCTTGTTCGTTCACTATTAATATCTAACTTTTCTCAAGATCATGAATCGTGATAGATAGAATTTGAAAAACTGTGTTCACAAAATTATTTTCAGCAAAAAATCAAAATGAAAGATGAAACTGAAATTAATAAATATATAAACATATGATTTATTGCATGAGACCTTCAAGCAGACAATGATTTACATAAAATCAGGTAATCTCCTTCATCTGGACAAGAAGAATCAACAGTAAAGCCATTTTTATGAAAGAAAGCAAGCGAAGCACCATTGAATGCGAATACGGTAGCCATTAGTTTCTCCATTGACACCCTAAAATTATAATAAAATTATAGTACAAAAAAGACCGCTAATAACTCTTTGAAATTAAATTCCTAAGAAATACGAATCTCACAAACTGACAAAAAATAGAAAATAGTAATGCTACGATAATAAAACAGCTACTTTTTGCCTATGCATTCTGCAATTGACAAAAGAGCTGATCCCACTCCTTTCGCTTGATAATCTTTTTCTACCTGTATCTCGTAACTGCAATTGTTACACAAAGTTTCTAAACAATAGGAAATTTAATCTGTAGTTCCAATATGGAAATCAGCAAACTTCAAATGCAAGAAAAATTTCTATCGCTTTCGCAACTAAGACTGACTACCAAATCTTTTTCTCAAAGCTCTGAAAATTTCAATTATGCTTTACATTGCTGTTACTTTGAATTTAAACATATGCTTTCTAGCTAGTACTGCATTAATTATGACACTAAAATATGATGGCTTTCTCAAACGTCGTAACGAAATCTAAACGTTTTGCTTAGCACTTTTTTATTGTCACAGATTTCATTATTTAAAAAATGCTGACAAACACTAACCAATATAGTACAGCTGAGTCAAATTCAATAACAAAACGGTAGTGCAAATATGCAATAGGTTTATGGTCCTCATTTTTTACAATAATATACCTGAAAAGCATGCTCTTATATGTATGATTAAATAATCAGTGAGAAACTAAAAAGCTGACATATTAAAAAGTTTTGTGACTCAATTTACGTCTTTAGGCATTAATTAGTACTTGATCTCGAGAATCAAAGATACTCATTACCTTGACGTAGTAGCTCTCAATTCTTGTCTCTTGCTAATTTCATTATATCCCCACTTTGAAATCTGATACATTCCACGCATATTTTTCTCAAACAGTTCAAAAACCCATGCAAATTCTTCTTCGCTCAAACATGTTCCCCATTTAAATGTAAAATGAATTTGTATGCTGAAAATTGTTAAAGCATTAGTAAAATCGAACTTTAAAAGCAACCAAAGTTCTCTGCAAAAATCTAGCAGTTATATGTTTATTTTGATTTGATTTTCGGATTTTACAACTTCCAGTTGCAAAATCATTAACACAAAACTCTAAAAAATTGACAAAAATAACTTGGCTAAATCTTGGAAGAGTGAAATAGGCTTCACAACATTCTCAATATTCATCAGTTTTGTTGCTTTCTTGACTAATTTTTTCTTCACATCCATTTTTATCCGGAAAACAGAAATGAACAAGTCATTACACAGTAATATATTTCTTCGATATTGGAAATCAGAAGTACGCAAGCCATCGATTACTATTAATCAAGAATTAATACACTGATAACATATCAAAAATATCCACTTATTTCAAGATTCTTAACTTTTAGAAAGGAAATCCCGCCATAGAACTTTTGTAAAACAAATAGATGCAAATCCTTTCCAAATCTGAAAATTTTTTTGGTGTCACAAAAGCTACAAAAAAGGTAAACTGAATTAAAGTCGCATATAATTTTAAAAAAATACTGTAGCATACAACATGTAATAGAAGTCTGATGAGAATCAAATAATAAAAATAATGACAAAGAACAGCAAAAGCCGAAAACATAACACTTCATTGGTAATAAAAGTGATACTAGAACAGGTTTGTGTGCAAGTTGCGATAATAATATCTGTAGTTGAACTTTCTCACTTTCATTTCGAACTATTTAAGACTTCTGCTAGCGAATTGCAAACATTGTGGGAGGAATTGTGATTTTTTTTAAGGCAAATTGCTTATTTTTAATCAATTATGTATTCGGAATTTCGGAAAAAATTTGCAAAACTTTTGCGTAGTCATTTGGGCTTTTTCTCACGTATCGAGATAAATGATTGAAATTCGAAACCTTGAGGTGTCAGTCTTCTGAATGCTTTGGTACGGATCTGTCTTGTACCTTATTAATATACCTCAAAATACAATTAAATTAATCTTAATCAGTAAAGATGTAATTTTTCAGATGATTAATTTGTGATTCTTTTCTAGCTATGATATTTATTTACACGTGATTTAGCCTTTATGATTTATACTTACATTTTGATTCAAAAGGTTGCAATTTAAGGAGTCTTGATACGGATCATGTATTGCAACCTTCTGTAGTCTTAATCTTTTGAAATGTAGTACATTGATATCGAAGTGTGATCTTACACACGTTTTCGCGTTCATATTTTATTTTTATCGATAATTTGAAGTAATGAATTGGAATGCAACAGAGAAGCTGTTAGCGAGTGAAGGATGGTCGGTTAATTGCAAACAACTAAGTGATTTTATGGGAAAAGATGTGACTTCGATAGATGATGTTGAAAAGCTAAAGCAGCTACTACTTGATGTGAAAATTCAGATATATTTTTTGCTTTACTAAAATACAGTGCACTCGAAAGATCCCTGATATTATATATGGAATTTTAAATATTTGAGAAGAATTAAAACAAATTTTATAGTGAATAAATAAGGAATAATTAAGTTTTCATGTTGGCTTTGTGTAAAATGATGAGTGATTAAAAAGTGCAAAAATTTATTGGCGGATCGTTCATTCTTGACAACTGATTACTTGAAATATCCCACTAGTAATGTAATAAAGTCCTAAATCTGTGCAGAAAATATGCTTTAAGATATTTTTTCCAGATTGATATACGTGAGTATTCTTCTCCAGTACTTGCAAATCAAATCAATAAGGAGTTGGGTGAATTTAAAGTATGTCAAGGTTTTATTTGCATACTTAATCGCGTTAATTTATTTAATTTTTTATGCAATACAATGTAGTTGCTAGAATGCAGAGCATGTTAAATCAGATCGGTAAGGAGTTGGGTTTAACTACTCTACAGTTGTTTTATCTTAGAAAGTAAGAACTTCTTGCTCATCGTTTTAGTGTTCGGAAATATTTTGGAGAACAGGTTGTTGAAAATGTCAACGAATCTGCTTTTCAATGTAGTACTGCTTTTATTGATATAAGTTTATTTAATTTATATTATCATTAAAATATTTGGTTTTAACTTTGTGAATGGAATCATTGGCTTGTGACTACTTTTTAGGGTCCTCTAGTCCTTCAAGTCGTTAAGTTACGAAATGTATCGTACCCAAAATACAGCGACGCGACTCATACTGATGGCCTCATCAAAATTCAGTTAAGCGATGGTTTTTCAAACATCCAAGCATTGCAAATTGAACCTATACCAAAATTAAAGTAAGCTACCGAAGAATTCCTACAGCGATAGACAATATATTTTTAGTTTTGTCTAATTGGGTTATGAAGGAAATCCTTGTAAATATACTGCGATTTGTAGTTCGAAAACGCCGTTTGGTGCGAAAGTTCGATTGACGGGAAAAATTCCGATCGAAAATGGAATGTTGCTCATTGACGAGACCAACTGCCATCTGTTGGGTGGTGTTGTAGAAAAGGTGGTCGAAAAATGGAATTTAGAAAAGGTTGTGCTTATTGTTTGACATTACCATTATTTACAGCGTAATGTGGACCTGGGGAAACTAACAAAGCATATAATTTTAGAATTGGTTGCAAAATCCCCTTCGAATTGCTGAAACTAAAGCTCCGAAATGGGTTCAGTTTTCTACACAGGTGATTGCCTAAATCGTATAGCTCTGTATAATGCAAATTTTTATGCTTATACATTTATGGTTAAATTCAGTTACATAATGTATTTATAGTTTACAGGTAAAAATCTGGTATTATGCTTTTTATAATTTTGATTACTCATGTTATTGCTATCGAGCCTTTGAACATTAGAAAATGTTAAAGACAAAATGAAATGTTTTCATTGTCTTAGTTTGCAATGTTTTAATTTTGGAAATTCTTTAGCGAGTATCAGAATTTCCATTGTCGAATAGTGCTACTAATAAACTGGTGCAAACTAATGATGTAATCAATGGGTTTTGCAAAAATGAAAACGAGCAGACTGATGATTTTAGCATTGCTAGAAAAGCTCAGATTGAGCAAGTTATCGAAAATAATGATGTAAAGGAGTTTGCTGAAAGTCAGGTAAATTCCTTAAGCAATATATTGTATGGATCATATCACATCTTTGAAAAGACTGTCTTGATGTAGTTCCGTACTGTTTATATTTTTTTGTTATAAACCAATTAAGTTTGTCAGAAGATTTTGTTATAGATTAAACCAAAACACGAGGAGAATGCAGCTTCGACTTCATATAACAGTACTAGTAAGAAAGAAGCAGTGATGAAATCCAAATCCAATGTGGAACACAATAATAATAGGGTTTTGTGTTTCCTTATATTGAGTAATTTCTGAGACTTTTTAAAATCATCTCTAGTTGTAATTATTTGATAATCATGGAGATTTTTTCTTGGTATTAGGTTGAACGTTTATTTTGAAAATCAAGTTTTTGGAGTGGTGTTTTTGTCATAGACTGTATCAATTGTTATGTTATTGTTATTTCTAAAAAATTTTAAGAATCGGCGTTTCTCTCGTGATAATAAACGGAGTATGGTACAGGTCTGTCGACCTTCAAACCTTCCGACTCTTTTTGATTTCGTACAATCTAAAGTTTCCATTCCAAAGTTATCGAATGAACAAGATTCTCATGGAAATGTGCAGGTCTGTACAATAACCTTATCTTTGACTTTCTTAAATTATGATAATATATTAAAAAACTTGAAAATCTGCGTTGATCTATATATTACGGAATTTTCTATTTATTTTAGAGTGTAAAAATGCATGAAAAGAGCCGGCACCCTGAATCTCCGACCATTAGTCGGCCTGGAAGGAATAAAAGTAATTGTAATTTTCTCTAGTAAATTTCTTACGTCATTGTATACTTTTGTAAACCAAGTTATAGTTTGTGTATACTAGGTTCTCTTAACCAGCAAACTGATGGCGACAGAAATGGGTTACGTACATCAAAAATTTCGAGTTCTAGTAGATATCGGAAAAATTTTAATTTGAAATCAGGATGTGATTCAAATTATGCAGTAAATGCAGTGAAAGATAATTTCCATACAAATTATGCAGACGACTTTTCAGCCGTTGCAGTTACGAATGAAGGTTGTCTATGACTTTTTCAACGACTTTCAAGCATTATTATAGATGTTTGCTCTTTCTTTATTATCACTGTTAATTAGTACGTAATAAACTAGTTGTTTTGAAAGTTCTATTGTCAGTCCTTTATACCATGAATTTAATGGCTTGTTTAAGTAGTCTTAGTTATTTTACTATATTGCTGTCTTTTATTTATTATTTTGTAGAGTTCGCAAGAATGCATATTTCATTGGCTGATAATCAATTGGGCAATATCAACAAAGATTACCTGGTCTCCCATTCAGGTGCTTCTTTTGAATACGAAAATTCTACTAATCACGAATTAGGTTACCAGTCGGTGAATGGACTACAGCATCAACGATCTTTTGATAATTTAGTAATGAAAGAAGAAATGCCTTGTTGGAAGATTGGTGATAAATGTCTTGCTCCGTGGAGTGACGGACAGGTTTGTTTACATTTGTTGTTTTTGGAATTAGTTAGGTGATAGAAGTGACTTATTCATAAAACTAATTTGAAAACTATTCCTTATCTAGCATTCCTGTTTGTAACTAAATGAATTGCTTATTTATTTAGTCTTAGCATTCGCCGATGTATAACTTCTATATTTTTTTTACAATATGAACACGGTACAATTTTATAATTCTTGTCATAATTTATAGAGAATTAAATGACACTCACTTGTTTTCAAATCTTTCGTTTAATTTGCATTTTTATAGTTTTATTTATCTACACTGGTGTCAATGGGCCCAGCTGATATGTGCACCGTTGAATATGATGAATATGGAAATCGAAGCAGTGTGCCTATTGAAGTACTATTATCTCTTCAAACATTTTAGAGACTATTTGTGGATATTCCCTTGCTTTTATTTTATTTTTCGCTTATGGCATGGTCTTGTGTAATGATAAATGGCCTTAAAAAGGAGGTACATCTTACATATATAATTATTCAGTTATGCGATTCATAAAAATTCCGCACAAATATATATTGAAATTTTAATAATGCTATTGTGACTTCATCAGAAATGCGTAACTTATCTTTTTTATTTACATATGTGCGAATTATATTGTGATAGCTTCTTTTTGCCAATAAACAATTTGCATATTTCGAATATAATTGGCTCATAAAAGCTAACATCTGTAGTTGTTTATTACTTCTAAATGCTTGATCGGCAGAGCACTAACGGAGGGACACCGAAGAACAGTACCTGTGGTATTTCTAATGTTTATATGCGTTGTTAGCGTTCAGTCCACATTTATGATTCAAATTACTTTTCGGTCTTAATTTTGCATCAAACTGGGTTTTATTGACGAAGACACATTATTGATTCATGTTGCTGCGGAACATCAGTAAGGCAGCGCGAGTCATAAAATCAGCTGGTGGAGATAATCCATCGAAAGCAGCGCTAAAATTGACATCTCAAGCTGTGAAACGAGTGAAATATTTACTTGACAAGAAACCTGGAATGACAGCTCTGAAAGTATGCTTTATAATTGTCTTTATGCGGTGTATTAGAAGGGTGTTGTCTTTCTATTGAAGTTTGGTAATTTGTTATTTAATAACTTTTTTTATAACGTGATGCTTTTATTATTTTATAGCATCTCTATATTTTTGGTAGATACTTTTCGCAAATTCTACTTCAGATAAGTGTCAAGCACAGTGGTTGTAGTGGATTAACGTATACTCTTGATTATGCCATCAAAAAAGAAAGATTTGATGAAGAAGTTGTTCAAGTAAATTTTTATCATTTTCTGGCTATTGTCTGATAAATTTTTGATTGGTACAAAATTTTTTACACTTATAGATGATGAAATTTGCTGCATGATTTCTCTTACTTATCCAGTAACAGTGGCGTGAAATTTTTTTAAGAATTAGGTGCTAGTCTACGATTCAACTGTTAAATTAGTTTATTTCTTAGTCTTATTTGCAGGATGGTGTACGCTTATGGATCGATCCTAAAGCGCAGTTGACTATATTAGGTAGTGAAATGGATTATGTCGAAGATCGTCTAACATCCGAATTCATTTTTCGAAATCCCAATATTAAAGGTACTTGTGGATGCGGTGAAAGTTTTAGCGTGTGATTTTCGAGTTCTTTTTACTTGTACTTGTAAGTATTGTATACTAATTTATTGAGTTTCCTTCTCAATTTATTGTATAGAATTCCTATTAGTTTTCATCTCTAATTTAAAGTAATGAGTAACTCATTAGCTATTCCTGGATTTTTTAGACTTTATGCTAGTTCAACAGAATCATTATTTACAGAACTAAAGTTTCAATCGTAACATATATTCATTCCCTGTTCGCTCTGTGAACTGTAGCATTTTGAAAGCGACATTTTTCACATTACCACTGGACCTCTCTAACGATTTTGCTAAATTATTAAAATCGGTAGACTCTAGATGTCCCTGAAATTAATCAACAAATTTTCCTAGGAAATGCCGTTGCACCACTTGAAGTCGCATAACATTTAATATTATGAAAATCAAATAAAACAAAAGCTCAAATTCTCAACTATGTAATGTCTAGCCAAATTGTCAAAGCCTCACTGTGATTTTATTCTAGTGATGATCGTTGTGCATCAATCTTATAGTACATGTATTTATGTTTTCTTACAAATAAATAACATTACACGTCTTTTCCGATTAATGAACATGTTAAAAAGAAATTTAATGTAATGTAAGCGTAAGATATAGATTATTGCGTTGTGCAGACTTCATCTGAATTTTAAAAACGCAATAGTTATATAAAAATTGGATGCCACCAACATTCTGCCAATTTCATAGCAATAGCAAAAATTATGAAGAAGCACTGTACATTGCGAAAAATACTAGTCTCGGCAGACACTAGATGTTCTTAAAACTGACTAAAAAGTTTTCTTAGGAAATGACGTTGCATTTAGAGTCGTATGAGGGAATTTCCAGTGCATCATTGTAACATATCGTTATCCCAGATTGTCTTGACAAATTCTATGCTCTAGAAGGGTAATTGATACCTCTAGAAAGGTAATTGACACCGTCTCTGGTACAGATGTTTAGTTTGATTGGATGGT